TGTGTGTGTGTGTGTGTGTGTGTGTGTGTGTGTGTGTGTGTGTGTGTAGAGAGAGTTTGTGTGTGTGTGTGGAGAGAGAGTTCGTGTGTGTGTGAGAGACAGAGAGTGTGTGTGCGTGTGTGTGTGAGAGAGAGAAAGAGTGTGTCTGTGTGTGTGTGTGTGCGCGCGTGCATGCATTTGTGTGTGCTAGAGAGACATTGTATGTATGAGAGAGGATTTGTGTGAGGGACTGTGTGTGTGTATGTGAGTGTGTTTGTTTGAGAGAGTGTGTATGTAAGTATGTTTGTGTGTGTGTGAGAGAGTGTCTCGTGTGGTGGGGTCATCTGTAGTGCAACATGAACCCAAGATCCTGGTTGAGGCTGTGTTCATTGGTACGGAACTTGGCTATCAACCTCTGCTCGGTGACTCTACAGTGTTGTGTATCCCAAAATCTGCCTTGGAGGACGTTTACCTGAAGATTTGAGATTGAATGTCCTTGATCGCCGAAGTGTTCCCCCACTGGGAGGGATGATCCCTGTTTAGCGATTGTTGTGCGGTTTCCATTCATTTGTTGTTGCTAATATACCATGCCTTGGTCTACTCTTGCCTGCAGCTTATGAGATAGACAATGTTGACCAAGTCACATGAGTATCTACCGTGCACATGGTGGGTGGTGTTCCCACGTGTGATGGTAGTGTCTATGTCAAAGATCTGAAATGTCTTACAGAGGTTACCATGGCAATGTTGTATAGTGTTGTGGTTGATGATGTCCTGAAGGCTGGGTAGTTTGCTGTGAACAATGGTCTATTTAAGGCTTGGCGGTTGTTTGAAAGCGAGAAGTGGAGGCGTGCGGTAGATCGTGGTGAGGCGCTCATCGTCATCGATAATGTGTTGAAGGCTGCGAAGAGCATGGCGTAGTTTCTCTGCTCCCAGGAACTACTGGACGATGAAGGGTACCCTATCGGTTGTATCCCGTGTCTGTCTTCTGAGGAGGTCATTATGGCTTTTCTCTGTGGCACATCGGAACGGGCAATCGATGAGTTGAGCATCATATACTGTTCCTATAAGGGTGTCCGTCAACATCTTCAGGTGTCTGTTGCATTCCTCCTCATCCGAACAGATCCTATATATGTGTAGGGCTTGTCCATAGGGGATGGCTGTTTTAATATGTTTAGGGTGGAAGCTAGAGAAGTGCAGCATCATGAGGTTATCTGTAGGCTTGCGGTAGAGTGAGGTATTGAGGTGTCTGTCCCTGATTGAAATGCATGTGTCCAAGAATGATACTGATTCTAAAGAGTAGTCCATGGTAAGTCTGATGGTGAGATGAATCTTGTTGATATCGCTGTACAGTTGTTTCAGTGATTCCTTGCTATGATTCCAAAGAAGAAAATATCGGTCAATGTATCTGGTGTATAGTGTTGGTCAGAGGTTCTGTGCAGCAAAGAAGTCTTGTTCAACCTGTGCATGAAAATGTTGGCATATTGGGGTGCAGATCTGGTCCCCATGGCTGCCAACACCTTCACATCATGTCTGCAAGTGGAGATTAATTCTCTCCTTCCAAATTTTCTCCAACTATTTCCCTACACTGTTGTGAGAGTCAATGGTCTATAATTCCCTGCTTTATCTCTGCCACTGTTCTTAAAAAGTGAAACCACATTAGCTGTCCTCTACTCCTTTAGCACCTTCCCTCTGGCCAGATAGGAATTTTAAAGTTGGGTCAGAATCCTTGTAATATCTTCCCTTCTCACAGCAGCCTGGGTTGCAACTCTTCTGGACCTGGGGATTTGTTTACTTATAAGTCCACCAAAACCTCCAGTAACTCCTTATCACCATGCCAAAATGCTCAAGAACTTCACAGCTCCTCTTTCTGCATTATATACCTACGTCCTCCTTCTGCTAAGTGAATTCACATGTGAAGTACTCATTTAACACCCTACCAATGCCCTCCAGCTCCACACACAGATTGCCCCCTTGGTTCCTAATGTGCCCTAACCCTACTCTTTCTCTGGGTATTCCCTTCCTCTTGATAAACTTATGGAATATCTTGAAATTTTTCCAAATTTTATCTATGAATGTTTTCTCATGCCTCCTCTTTGCTGTTCGAATTACTTTCCAACGGCCTCTGTTAATTTGCTTCCTTTGTATCTGTTAATAGCCTCTCTTTTTCTTATGCAGTCCTGAATATTCTTAGATGTGCAGGGTTCTCTGGTCTTGCCCTACATTTCAAATAGCATAGGGCTGTTTAGTCAGAAGCTAGGTCCCTTCAAGCACATTTCCACAAAATCTTGTCATGTTCGATGAGATGATCTGCAAACTTTACAAGACACCTTAGGGAAAACAGATAAAAATAGACTAGAAAAAGATTGTTCAGGTTTTTGGCTTGCTCGCCAAGCTGGCTGGTTATCGTACAGATGTTTCGTCACCACGCTAGGTAACATCATCAGCGATGAAGTGATGTTGTTCTACTCTGCTTGGAATTTATATGATCTGGTCAAAAAAAAACCGGAAATCACACAATCCAACTTAACAGACTGGATCATATAACTTCCAAGCAGAGTAGAACAACATCACTTCAGCGGAGGCCTCACTGATGATGTTACCCAGCATGGTGACGAAATGTCTGTATGATAACCAGCCAGGTTGGCGAGCAAACCATAGCCACAACCCGAGCTACAAATTTTCACAAGAACCTTAAATAGTGATTCTTCAGTTTAAAGTGAACAGAACAAAAGATCAATTCCGATTGGTGACATGAATCAAGTCAATCTGCTAGTCGTAGGTCTGAATTAAGCTTATTTATTACTCTACACATCAAAGATTTCTTTTAGGCAATTATGCAGCAAGTAAGTATTACCCTACAGTTCTGCCCATTCAGCTAAACAGGCTGCATTGTGCCTATTGGACTCTGTGGTGATAATGAGAAAAAATTAAAACTGTATAAGAAATGACGAGCAACTTTCAGAAGCACTTTCATGGCAGTTGGAGCTTCATTTGGTTGTGGAAGCTTTTGCACAAGTACAGTTTAAGGTAACATGATTAATAATGATAACTTTTGGTGTAAACTGCTTCCCTATCCAAGCTGTTGTTTTAAAAAACAGCCAATTATTCCCTGGAAGCAAAGGCATTTAATATTTGAGAGATAGTAGGAACTGCAGATGCTGGAGAATCTGAGATAACAAGGTGTAGAGCTGGATGAACATAGCAGGCCAAGCAGCATCAGAGGAGCAGGAAGGCTGACGTTTCGAGCCTAGACCCTTCTTCAGAAATTTAATATTTGTTTCGCTTTCCATGTTAAAGATCCACTGTTTTGGGCTTTGCACTTAGCTGATGCACAACGAGTAGTATCAAATCATAATCATGTTGATCAGCATAAGAATCTGGATACTGCTCCAAATTAGTTATGCCTGGAAAATTCAGTGACTCCCAAGTAAATATAGCACACCTTAATCAAGCTTTTCATTGATTGAACGTGCTGAAAGTCAAATTGACTAAGGCTTTTTCTAATTTTATCCCTTATTACTTCATGTATTTTGCTTGACCCTATTATTTCTTTCATGTGTAATGCTTTATAATTATCTGCAGTAAATTACTTTTCACTTTATTCAACTACAGATCTCAACAAACTCATTCTGTAATTTCCATGCTGCTCCTTCTAATTCAGCCTTTTTAGCTTTCTAGTACTACCTGCAATTTTAACCACCCTGTATTGAGTTTCTGTACCATGGCCAATGATGGTAACTTAAAATATGTGGTGATTCAAGTTCCAAGTCCTGATATATCCCAACCCATTCTGACGTTGCTCCTCTTATGGTTGCATGTTATTTTCAATCTTTCAACTGGTTTCTTATTCACTTCTACATTTTATCCTGAATTTTCCATTTTGAGTTTAATTACTAACCTTTTTGTTGGAGATTTGCCAAAAGGCTGTTGTCATCACTTTTGGGACATTTAGTTAAACCTGAGCAGCGTATTTACAGGTTTGTTAACAGTGATCCCTGATTAACATGTAGCAGAACTATTTAATTATTGGCTGGCCAGGACAGAGAAAATCTTGCACACAATATTTACATGTAGAAGGAATTGTTTTTCTGGCATTGAACAAACAACTAATTTCAATATTGTATCTGCAACAAACAGAATAGAGAAAGAATAACATGAAAAATTCTGACATCAATTAGAAAAGGTTGTTGCCAGAATTATATGTTTTTGATTGCATTTACAAAGAGATAAAGATTGCATAGTGTTAGCTTTGAGGTTTATGTCAGTAATCTCTGGATGACTTTTTTCACAGTCCTCCTTTGTGAGATGATGTCTGGTCTCTATCCAGCACCTTCTCACAAAGGCAGTTGGGAGTGGACGATTAAACTGTGTTTCACACTGTTGCAGTGTTGCAAAGTGTTACAACACATTTGATTAAATGTATCTGTTATACAGTGTTGATTAAGCGAGCTTTTTAAAAGGTTGCTTTTATTGTGCTTATCAAATATATTATGCTGTATCTAAAATCATAACAAATGCCTCTCTCAGAAATAGTCCTGACAAATAAACTGTTGCTACTCAGGAACAGTAGGCCTTGTCTTTTGGAGCTGTTTGGTCTCCTTTGTGAAAAAAGCATTTAGCTAATAAGTTGCACTTTAACCTCTGCTTAACTTAATTTTTCTCTAACGAGGCTCCAACTCTGCTGTTTCATAATGATGGTCCCTTTATTGCAAATCTTTGTTTATATTTATTCCTTTTTTGTTCTGATTATTGTGATAACAGTTTTTGGAAGATGAGCTAAAAGGAACCAGGAATCAAGTGGAAAACCTGCACAACAAATGTAACGAGTTGTCATCTCACCTTGAGCATCAGCAGAGAGAAGTGGATGTAAAGGATGGTGAAGTGATTAAATTTAGGCAAGTATTACATAAGACGACTCAATGAAATTCATTCAGTGTTGAGAAACTGAATACTTGGTTGCTGTAAATCTGAAGTATAAACAAAAAGCTGGAGATACTAAGCAGGTCATGTAACATGTGTGGAGAGAGAAGCAGAATTAACATTTCAAGGTTTTCGTCAGAAATCTTTACCATTACTTGTTTTTAGTGTTGACTTGGTGACTACAAGGCATCTTTTGCATATCTGTTAGAATTTTCATCCATTCGAACAGTTGTAATGCTGTGTTTAACTTCTCACATTTTGGGAAGAAGCCACACAACATTAAAAGATGTATTTTTATTGTTGGTTGAGGTCAAGCACTTTGACAATAAGAGGCATTGATAACTACTCAAAAATTTCAGTCATTGAGTGCCTGAAACCTAAAACATTTTCAGATTGGCATAACATTTTAATTGTTGTTGAGTTTTGCAGAGCAAAAGGAACACACAATGACCTTGGTTAAAGGTTCAACATGCTTCTACTTGAGCTTTATGTGATGGCATGTAAATCTTCCCTGTATTAAAGCCATAGGATTAGTGTTGCATGTTTGAAAAGCTGCTGAAAAATGGAAGACTCAAAAGAGAAAGCTGTAATAACTTGGCTGTTTCATTCATTACAATATGGACAGATTCAGTGCATTAATTTGTGTAAAAAACCTAGCACTCACTGAGAAGGAGCATTATGTAAATGAGTTAAACCTGCAGTCAGATGTGATGAGACTATCTTTGATCAAATTTAACTATCGATTTTCATTGCAGACACTTTATACTGCTAATACCCTACAACCAAAACATATTTTTATTATAACTATTCCTTTAAGAAGGTAATGACTGAATGTTACAGCATGCAACTAGAATGATGACTACACAAATGAGAACATGCATCTGTTTGTAGCTGAAGCATATGGACAATTATAATTCTCTTCAGAAATGGCCGAGAGCATCACTCCACTCATTAGAGGTTTATATGGAAATTGCTGTTACCATCCTTTTAACGGTGAAGCCATTCTATGTTGAAAAGCATACGAAACTCACTGATTCATATCATAAGTACTTAAAGTTATCTTTCTAACACCTCATCTCCACAAAATCCCTAGTAATGCTAACTTTGGAAATTAGATGTGCTTGCAAATTTCTAGAGTAATGTGTGATAAGTCATTGAGGCATATTAATAGTTTTGTGTCAATAGTACTTCCAATTAAGTATTGAATTTAATTCTCCAAAGGCAACATAGTTTTTTGAAAAGGATATTGGGATTGACAATTTTATTATGTTTTTTTAAAAAAGATATGACTAGTAGGATAGATCAAGAGAAACTAGAAGCTTTCGTATACTGGCTTTACAAAAGGTATTAGATAAGGACATGATTACTATGAACATGGATCAAGGATTATTTAATAGATGGGAAGCAGAGAGTAAGCATAACTGGGCTTTTTCAAATTGGCATGGTAATCCAGTTCAGTGCTGCAGGGGTCAGTGCTGAGAACCCTAGCTATTTGTGATCTATGTTGATGATTTACACAAAGAGATGGAGAATGTTTTGACATTTGCTGACAGCACAGTAAATCTGGGAATGAGGAGGAGAACACATAGACATTGTAAAGAGATTTAGACATGAAATGAGTGGGCAGAAAGGTAGCAGGTAGAATATAATTCCAGGATGTGTGAGGTTATTCACTTTGGTAGTAAGAGTTGCTACAACTAAGTTGGCATGAGCGCGCTATTGCTATAGCCCTGCCACTCCATATGTTGCAACATGAAGTAAAAGTATTTTACCCACATCCCAATATGGCCAATCATATGCTTTCTCCATATTAGATTGAGAATGAAGAGATATATGAACTTGGTTTCAATGTTAAAGATCAGTTTATTATAAAATAAAGTGCAGTTAATGAAGATACATAATTGGTTGACATGCACTGTTCATAACATAAAAATAACAATATTTATCCCTGTAAATAATCTAAGACACATATGCATGCACACTTCAGGTAAAGGGCAAAAATGCAGAAATTCACATAAAGAAGAAAAACACTTTTTGGCCAATGATGGTTACTCTTGAAGGCAAAAAGGGTGAAGCACAAATGTTCTGAAGTGTTCATACGGTCAAGTCACTAACCATGCCTAGTTTTCTCTGGGGTCTTGGCAGACAAAATTTGCTCAGAAAAAGATTTTTCAGTTGGTCTTCTAGAAGAACAATCATGCTTCAGCTTGATCCCACAGCAAGATTTCAGAAACAGAAGACACAAGCTGAACAGCTTGTTCTATAGCAGGCTTTCCTCAACCAAAAGTCCAAAGCACAGATTCCAAACCTGCAAACACTGTTTGAAAATAATATCTGAAAAACTTGATCATAAAATAGTGTTTTCCCTGAACTGAGCTCAGGCAACCAAGAATAGTAATTATCTGGAGCTGTGTAGCCTCCAAGAAATTCCTTATTCTAATAAAAAAATTCGGTATGTCTTTTTCATTGACATTTAAAAAAAGAATTTGTGAGCTTCTTCACAATTCTAAAAACTCATGTCTACAAAAATAATTAAGTGTAAAGCATTTTCATAACAGTAGAAAAGCTGGTAAGGTATAATCTGAGAGATTGTTTCCTCTAGCTGGGGATTTCTAGAACATAGGTGTACAACATGATGGACTGTTAGTCTGTCCGGGAGTAGAAGGGTATGGGAATGGGTAGGAAAGAGAAGTTCGAGCTGAAGATCATTCATGAAATGGTAGTGCAGGCTCAAGAGGCCACGTGGTCTACTTCTGTCTTATTTCTTATGTTATGAGGTTTTCATATTTCGAACTGAATATTTAAATTTGGCACTGACAGTTTTCAAACTTATTAGCATCCTTATTTTGGTGCTACTGAACTTCTGTCTTTAAGTATACAAGATCAGATCATGCTAATAAACACATTTTTTTCATTGCATCACTTGTAAATCATTTTGACTGAGACCATCCTTAGTGGAAGATGTGAATTAGGCAATGTAAAGGGTAAAGTCACCATAGTCGCAGAAGACCACAATGTTGCTGTCCTGTTAGAGAGAGATCACAGGTGGTGAGTTTAACCTGAGAGTCACTATGCCTCAGGTGACAGGAGATGTTGAGAAAATAAGATCTTCATGGTAACCTCAGCTGGTGTTGGAATGAATTGGGAGGGGATGTAAAAGGACTGCAACTTTTTAGGTCTTGTAGCTGGTATCTATTTGAGCCAGTCAAGTTTAATATCATCAGAATGCTTCTGTCTTTTAATGTTCTCAAGACAGATGCAATAAATCGGACCAAGCATGAAGTTTCCTGTTCTAGAAATGTATTGCATTTTCAAATTAATTATAATGTTAGAATCAGGCTTCAGAAAGAATTTATAACAATCTATTACTTGATGAGAAATTGGTAATGTTGCAGAATGGACTTTTGTAGCACCCTGTAGACATGCAAATAATAAGTTCTTTGTGGATAGATAGACATCCAGTGAGTTGGCAGTCTACCTATCCAACATCTGTTTTCACTTGACCATGACAGTGTTTTACTGGACATGATCCAGGGAATCCTGTGTAATTGGGATAGAATTCTGGAAGTATGTTTCCTTCAAGTAAAAACTGTGTCATAGTTGAAGACTGTTAATTGTGATGGTCTGGTTGAAGCACAGTTGTCTCATTTATCAATTGCTCCATGTAAACATAATGAATATAAACAAGATTTAATTGAAACATTTTCCCCATATGAAGAGAAGTGTCCTTATTAGCCACATTCTCATTTGTCATCAACCATCAATTCTAAGAAAATTAGACACTATTTGCTTCACATAGAGCACACGAACTGACTTTATAACCTGGTATCCCAGCCAATGTTTGTGCCTCAACCAGCACCACTGGAAGTAGATTATCTGATTTTTGTGGATCTTGCGATGTTTGTCACATTGCTTTAGTCACTGTACGTCATTAGCTGTTAGAATTTTTGGAATGTCCTAGTGTTGTGAAAAATGCTGTACAAATCCACCTTGTATTTTTACTTCTAAAGATGACAACTGACTAAAAACTCCTAAGACCAATCAAAGAATCATTTTCTAGTGCATATGTTGACAAAATATATCCACTGAAGAATACTTGTAAAAATATATAAATATGTCCAAATATCTTCACATTGCCTGGAACCTTAATATGAGAAGATGCATATAGCTTAACTGAATGTAAAACTTTAATTTTGCTGCCATCTAGAGAAGCGATGTAATCTCCAAGTTTGTGAATTAAGTCACCTGTAAGTGGTAGAATTTTACAAGGTTTGGTCACAGTGCAGAATATAATAGAGTGTGTGAAATGTTGAAAATGGTGAAGCATTTAGCTTTAATTGGATTTACTTTCAGATACTTTTTGTTTATTCCAGTTTTATTTGATCATCATTTCGGTAATTTTAGTTATCAGCTTTTTGTTTTCAACAATTTGATACTTAGGAAAACAGAAAAAAAGTAATTGTCAAATAGTAAGTTATCTTAGAGTGCCTATTAAATAGCAGTTATGTTGTCTATATTCTTTGTAGAGTACAACAATTTTGATATGAAACACACGGAAACAAAAATTGTAGGAGGAACTCAGCAGGTCTGGCAGCATCTAGGAGAGGCGATGGCCTAGTGGTATTATCGCTTGACTGTTAATCCAGAGACCCAGATGATGTTCCGGGGACCTGGGTTCGAATCCTGCCATGGCAGATGGTGGAATTTGAATTCAATAAAATATCTGGAATTAGGAAACTAATGATGGCCGTGAATCCATCGTCAATTGTCAGGAAAACCCGTCTGGTTCATTAATGCCATTTAGGTAAGGAAACTGCCCTCCTTACCTGATCTGGCCGAGTGACTCCAGACCCACAGCAAAGTGGTTGACTCTTAACTGCCCTCTGGGCAATTAGGGATGGGCAATTAATGCTGCCTCACTAGTGACGGCCTCATCCTGTGAATAAATAAAAAAAATCTGCAGAGAGAAAACAAA